AGCTTTGTGTTATTTTCATCTGTGCTATAGCAGCCCTGAAATCGAGTGAAAACCAACAGCCCAGCAGCCACTAGAGGGGGCAGCTGGGGTCGGAGCTCCCCCAACACACTGTTCTCAGAGAATTACCCCTGTTTGATCCATCTGGAAGTTTCCTGGAAACCTCCATTCACAGGGCTTATTTTTTTATTTATTTACTTTTAAAAATTTGACTTAAGTCAGAGCTTGCTCAATTCTGAAAACCTTGTCCCTGGGGCATTTGACAAAAACAATCAGGGACAATTGCTTAACCTATAGCTGCCTAAAACAGTGGCAACTGTGGGGGGCAAACAAGAAGCTTACCAGAAATCTTAGAAGGGAAAGCTGGGGCATGAGACACCCATAAAGGACTTCGCTAAGCTCTGACAGATTTCTAGAAATTGGAACATCTTTATGCACCTGTGTGGGATAGTCTCCTTTACTTATAGTCAACTAATTATGCACAATAATCACATCCACAAAATACCATCACCACGGCACCTAGATTAGTGTTTGAATAACTGGGGACGAGAGACTAGCCAGGTTGACACATAAAACTGACTATCACAGGAGGAGAGAATGATAGTGGAGCAAGGTTTTTATATCCTATTGAAATAAAGTTGATATTAATCACCTTCAGGGCAGAGCTCAAGCACACCTCCCACCACCCCACAGGGGGGCCAAGGTCACACAGCTGGCAATCCGCACAACAGGAGTTCCAAACCTAGTTTCCCTTTTCCCTAAACCAGGCCTCTTGATCAATCACTATCCTCTATTAAACAGAAGAGGATCTAATTTCCCAGGCCCTCTCCCCAGCTTCTGAGACAGACAGACTGAGGGACGGATAGACATCCCCCCTACTCCCACCACCAACACACACATTATTTAACTGGAGAGGACTTCTTAAGGCCATCCTCTCATCAGAGTTGTATTTCTTCTGAGAGTCACTCAGGTTAACATAAATGGTTAACATCTGCAAATAGAATGCACCACTTTCCTTTAAAAACATCATCCTGTTCCAGTAGAGAACACTTTCTTTTTGTTCCCCCCGCCCCCGCCTTAGTTAATCTTTCTTTAAAATGTGGCCTGGGATTGGCACGCTCTCCCTCCCGGGAGCACGCCCCGCCTTTCCCGTCCCGGCTTTCTCCCCAGGCCTGTTCCCTTTGCCTTTCTCTCTCCTAAGCTCCAAGGGTCCTCTTTTTGCTCCTGGAAATTGTTTCCGAGCCTCTGTGGCGCAGATGGCTCACTTCTACTAACTCTACAACTTTCTCTTATAACTAAAAAAAAATAAAAAATAAAAAAATAAAAAAACAAAACAAAAAACCCATGGCCTGGCTTTAGCATGTTGTCCTCTCAGCTTCGCCCTTCCATCAAAGAAAATCCATGAGCTACTCGCTGAGGTTTACAGAGAGAATAAAAACAAAAGAAGCAAGACTTGTCTAAATTTAAAGTGCTGGAAAATCCAACATTTTATTTACTACATTTTGGTGACTACATAAATGCTGAAACATTTTAACACTGAAAAGCATGATGGCATCATCACTTGCTTTTTTTTCTTTTTTTCTTTTTTGCTTAGCAAACACAGCAGATGATATTGCACGGCATAAAGTGAGAACAGTAGCGAAGCTTAAAAAAAGAGAAAGAAACCTTAATGCAGTACAGGAAATACTCATAAACAAACCAGAATAATGCCTAATGCATTACACTTTTTGTCGCTACACACAAAAATACAGAAGAAGCATTGGACAGAGAGAAAGAGAGAGAGACAAAATATTAGCAAACAACCATAACTTGGGTACAATAATCATTTTGTCTGAAATGTAGATGCAACATAGAAGCTACCACTGCTTTCTAATTGACAAAGAAAATGACAGCAACATTTGTCTTTTATCAAAAATCTTCTAAGCCCCTCATGGTTAGGTTTTTAAATTAATTAATTATTTAATTATGTATTTACCTTTTCTTTTTTCCCCCCATTGCTAAGGAAGAACTCCCTCTGCTCTTGGAAGATTTTCTACTCTACTGATCTTTTTTTTTTTTTCATTTTATTTTTATTTATTTTTTACCTGATGATTGTCTTAGGCACCCTCCTTACGTAATAAACCATCAAGCTAACTTGAACAGGGAAACTGAGTCACTCTCAAACAATATCTAAGAAGAAACAGTCTAAGTGGGAGACAGGTGGGCTGACTTCAGAAGGGACAAGAAACACAGGGAGATATGAAGACAACTACCGAAGCAAGAGGAAGACAATGTTTTAAAGTTTATTTTGTTAAAAAATACTTGTCACTTGGTTCAGACGGCATATCTAAAATGAGCCCATAAAGATTATGCAATAAATGCAGAACATACCATGAAAAAATCCAGACTAACATAGAAACAGGAACTATAACCTCGTGAATACAACTCTGCTCAGCATTTCACCGCTGATGGTCAGTCTTCTCCCTCCACCATTTTCCTGGGCTCTCTGTAACTCACTGCACAGCGTTTGTATTAAAAACAAATTAGTCAATGCTTACCAACAGAGCACTGAATGATCCTGCAACTCAGAGCATATTTATTGCCCTATTAAAATACATAATGAGTATAAAAATGCTTCTAAGAAAATGTAACATTTGACCCAAAGTCTAAGCCCTCCCTTTCCTTCCCCACCCCAAACACCCCCTGCAAAAGAAAATCACATCAATTTCTTGTATTGAGAGGAAAAGTATTTACATCTATGGATTTATGCCATGTAGTTGAAGCAACTTATTTCAGCAAAATAAAACAGAACAGTGGGCACTGGGTCTTCTGAGGGTGCCATGAATCGGCTGAGAATTCTGCGTGTGCTGATCTAAGTTGAAGCAGGGCCAAGTACCTGAACAGCCTCGGTGATGAACGGGGCCTGAGGCAGGGGCCATCTCTGCTGTGTGGAAAAGAGAACTAGTGGTACGATTGAATGAGACGAGACAAACTCAAACAGGCCTGGGGTACATTCACCAGGGGACTCTGACCTTGGAGAGAATTCTTCCAGTTTTGGTGGGCAGGGGTGCGGGGGCGGGGGCGGGGGCGGGGAGGAATTGTGAGTAGCAGACTCCAAGAAACATGTGGGGGCGGAATATGTAACTGTGAAACGTTGTCCTTAAACTTGACTGCTACTTGGGGCTGAGCAATCGTGTTTTGCTTTTTCCATGGGTTGGCCGGATGGGCAGGGGCCAGGTCAGCTGCCCCACAGCCTTGACTTTCTCTGTAAGGGCATGAAGCCATTCTATACTCCTCTCAGCTCTGCCAAAGGAACTGTGTCTTCAGGACCTGCCCCCTGCATTGAAACAATTCAGAAACTCAGTGAAACTTAAGAAGATTTCCGAATTCAAGTTAGCTTGTCTCTTTAAGTTTTTACACTCTTTACTTCTCATACCCGTGCGAATGGCTTTGAAAAAAAAAAAAGTAGCAAAGTATCTCACAGATGCCGGTGCTTTGGAACATTAAACAAGTCTTAAAGTCTTTGGAATTTCAGGTCTAACCTGCAAAGTAACCTTTTCTTTAAAAAAATTAATAAATTAAAGGAAGAACACGAATAATGCCTTTCTTCTTTCTAAGTGACAAAAAGGACTACCTTGAAACACTCATTTTGGCATGTACAAGTTTTTTGAGGGGGGGACCTGGCAGTGTTCACAACACACATTGAAGTGCCTGCTAAGAAAAAGCTAAAGATACACCCTGCAGTTAAGAGAAGCTCTTGCCTTCAGCTCGTCTTAGCATCAAGAACAAAAAGATTGTAACATAAAGCTTTGGCCATTTGGATTCTACTATATACATTTTAAAAACTACACAGTCATAAATTAAAGCAGTGATTAAATAAGCTCATATAAAATGTAATTAAATTAAAAAAATCACAGCACATTATAGAGAAAATAGGAACCAGTTTCACAAAAAAGAGATTATATATATATATATATATATACTTTTTTTTTTTTACCCTGTGGAAACAAATTTACTACGAAACACAAAAACTTCATAAGTAACCATCAAAGTGAAAACCATTTCTTATTCCATTCTTGCATTTTTACACAACCCTTAACCCACGTGGGGAACATTTCCAGAAATTAAGTCTTCCTTGAGCAACAGAGCAGTTCTGCCAAGAAAATAAACCCCAAACCGAAGCGGGGAGGGGGCGGACATCCCAACATACAAGCTACAAAATAAATAAGAATTATAAAGTTTCTTTTAAAAGTAACCTTAACAATTATCAAACTAGTAAGTTCTGCCTTATCACATAAACTCTCTATACAACATAACCCTAAAACGTTATCACTATGAGGTATTTGGAGGAATTGGTAAAAGTGGTGCACGGCCTGCCTGGGGAAGGGACTCAGTGAAGTGGGGGACCTCGGAGGGAACTAGGAGGAGGAGCTTTGGTTTATCAGCAAGAAATTGGGAAAAAAAAGTCATCCTTTGGTATCAAAGAAAGTTTCATTGCATGGTTGCACGGAAAAAGCACCACGGTGAATAATTATTCCTTCTTTTTTTTTTTTTTTTTTTCATTAGTGGCCTTTCTAAGAGGCTGAGGTATTCAAAGAGTATAAGGTGAGAGAGGTCAACAGCGGTTTAACACTTTGGTTCAAGCAAGGCACTCGTCCTAGGAGTTTACAAAGTTTGCAACATGTTTGCCTAGAGATTTACAAGTAGAACTAGCAGTAGTAAGAGTAGTATTTCCTAATGTTGTTGTTGTCGTGTCATTATTATTAAGAATGAAGACAAGTTTACACACTGAGTGAAGAGTGAGGAGGGACGAGGAGGTGGGAGAAGGGACTGGGGCGGAGTTCCCTCTGCAGACCGAGGCCGTGCATGAAAATATCTTTGGTATTCTTTGGTATCATATCAATGTGATTAAAATCACCAATGGAAATCGAGTGAGGTAGCGTCTTTGGTTCACACTATAAATAGTAGATCTTTACACTTTTTTTTTTTTTTACACGTGGAAGTAGCTATTTCTTACCTTCTGCTTCTTTGTCCTTCCTAGTTAGGAAATAGTTACCAAATGCACTGTAAAGCTAACCACACCACAAGAATAATCCAGAAGGCCAATCGCATCTCAAAACGGCCTCTGGTGTTTGAATGCACCCTAAACAACTAGATCGGAAAGGGAGAAGTGCTTTCTCTTTGTTTGCTAAATGCATAGTTTTCATGCTTTATGTACAAAGAAGGGAGAACCTTTTTTTAGGGAAAATGCCTTTATAGCTCATGTGAAAATGTCCTAGGACTCTTTGGTATAGCAAAGTTTGCATTTAATCTGCAAAAAGATGGGTCATTCACCTGGGGTAGCAATGGGAGGGGCATGAGTCCAAATGCAGCATAGTGCTTTCACTTTTTTTCCTGGAAAATTCATTATGCTTTTTGCGGGGAGGGAGAGAGTGAGTGACATGTGCAGTTAGAACTTCTGAATTTCCCCACACATTTTCTTTGGTTTTTGGGGTCTATTCCTGCTACATCTAGGACTGGAACACTCAGCTTCTAACATCCAGAATTCTTTTACCCTGAACATTTACTGAGCTTTTGGGGTGTCCAGACCTCCTACTCTTTCTCTTGGCTCCCTTTCAGAGAAGCTTCTAGTCATGAGAGGACATAAAAGATTTATGGCCCAAAACAGTCTAACTTCCATTCTACCAAAAAAAAACCCCAACAAAACAAAAACCAAAAAACCAAACAAACACAACACCCCAAAATGTATTCTTTGAAGCGCAGTTTTGGTATAAATAAATATACTAATAAAAGAATGAGATATCTTTTTAGGTGAATTTTGTTCAAGGACTGAGAAATAATGGGTGAGTAAATGGCATGTGATCTGCTCGGTTGTGGTGGGTTTAGAACCTGAGCCATAAATGAATGCTACATGAAGCAGGAATGGAAGCATATTCTATATGACAAGTCAGAAGCAAAACAGAATCAGTCATACATGATGGAATAAGTGTATTGCTTGTGAGAAGCTGAGTTTGTCCATTATAATTTCTAAAAAGCAGAGGTTGTGAGGATGCTTAAATAGTCAAGTAAAAAAATTGCTTTTCAGGCTCGGATTTGTGCATCTGTTTATGAGAAAATATATCTCTAGGCCCTGAAATTGCATAATGGGTGCACATTCAATGCTGGTATGAAAATTATCTTTGGTGTTAGCAAATAGAATCACTGGTTATTTTTCAAAAAAATACCATTATGGTGAGAATATTAAAACTGTAGCAATATTCTTTGAGACTGTGTCTACGTAGTACCAAAATAACTGGTTGAAAACTTAAAATGCAGTTAGATCAATTTGAGAGGGTAATATGTAAAAACAAATAAAAAAACTATGGTTGTCTGAATTCAACTTTTGTTTTTACTGGGATATTGAATTTGGTAAGATTGGGTGTAGACACAGCTTGAATTTCCCTGCATTTAAAATTCTCACGTTTTAAATAAATAAGGCTTTCCTCCCTCCTAAATGAAAATACATTATATAGCTGTACCCATGGCCCCCTCTATTCCTGGAGAGAGAAAAAAAAGTAAATCAGTTTTTTCCTTTTAGTTTATGTCATTGACAAGATTAAATTTTTAGCAAATTTGGAGGGCAGCCATTTAAATGATCTCTTTTAATAGCTCAGTTGTAATTGTGCCATATTTAGAAGGGAAAATTTTAAGCTGGAATTTAGGGTGAGATAAAGAAAATAGAATGTGTCAAGGCAAATGCACTACTTCATTAAAGGTGAAGTATGTGTTGATTTCCTTTCCTCAGCCTACAGCAGACATGAAGGAGTCACAGACGGTTCATTGGTTTTGCCTCAGCTCTCCAGGTGCCTGCCTCTTCTAGACCTAGACAAGATGCTGGGATTTGATCCTAAGGAGCTAGATTTTATTTCAAGATGGTTTATTTTTTTTCTTTAGCATGTGAATGAATCTCAATAAACAACTTATTGTTGAGATAATATTTAACTTTATATTTCTAGTTAGATATGCTAACCAAGAATACCCAGTTCTTTACCTACTAGTACAAAAGACTTCCACTTATATGAGTGACAATTCAATGGAATTCAGATAGAATTTAGAGGGGAAAATCAAGTGATTCACTCAGGTACTACTAGTACCACTGTATTATCTTTTGGTGTTTTTTTTTTTTGTTTTTGTTTTTGTTTTTGTTTTTTTTGTGCCTTGATTTCTATGGCCCTGGTTAAGTGATTTGGGAAAATAGAAATTTATATTTTTATATTTGGAGGTTGAGGTCTAGTTTTTATCTGTCCCTGTTAGAGAGTGGAATCTATGTTATAAAATTTCCAGCTTAATGCAGTAGCAAGAAAGAATGTAGTATGCTTTAGAGCCCATGCTTGGTGAAATAAACAGCCTAAGACCTACAGAACCCAAAGTCTTATCTCCCACTAGAACTCTGTTTTGTCCTATGTTCCACCATTCCTTGGTTGTACCTGCTATTTTTATTGATGGCCAAGTCTTTATAAAATATCTGGGATTAGCAATAAAAACAGTTTGATTGTATCTATAGAATGATTACAAATATTGGATAGTTCATTTTAATAATAATGTTGTTCTGCTCACTTTGTGTGTCTGTAAAGTATTTTAAATGGTATTTGGCGTCAAATGCATAAAGAAGATTTGTCAAATTAATCTAAGTATGGAGGCCCTTATTCCATGGTCTTTTTACTAAAAAAGTATTACTTTGAACAAATTTTCTAACTTAGTTATCTACTCTGTTAAATTTCATTTTCTAGTTTACAGATGGGATCCTAGTTTGAAAGAGCCCCCAGGTTTTCTCAGCTATAAACAGATTCTGGAATCACGTTATATGTCTACTTAAGTGACATTTATGGATCCCGAAAGGGAGTGTGCTATCTGGGTGTACCTGTATACTGAATCGACCTCTCTGTTATGGTATTAATTGCTTCCCTGAAGCTACATTCTTTCTTGCCAGTTCTGAAAACAAATATTTCAAATGCTTCAAGAGTCATAAATAATAGTCATGATTCTACGTGGCATGTGTATTACAGCTAAGATCAGTTCATACGTATAACTTTACATAGTATCTTGTGTAAAAATAGCTTTGGTTATTAAAATCATTGCAATAAAATACCTGCACTTTAATATTAAGTGTGTTCTTTGGTACCTAGGTGATTTTTTTTAATGGATGGACTCTTGTTTCATTTCTTAAAAAATAGCTGAACATTCCTTAACAAACAAAGAGAATGCACTAGTTTAGGTGTCATTCAAATTTTCTTTGCTGGGTTTGAATCTGCATTTAGGTTGCGGGCCTGGCAGGTTCAAACATTAGGCTAGACGAGCAAAATCACACTCCGAATCCAATGAACTCAGACAACCCCACACTGTTGGTTGCACTCCTACAGCACAACCCTTCCTAAAGACCAGCCCTGCCTAAGTCCCTAACCACTGGGGGTAGTGGTGGTGTGTGTGTACATGCACGCACCCACACACGCAAGTACTGAGACACCATACACCTTCGTGGCGTGGTGGAACAGATGAGAAAGTCCGATCTTGAAAGATGTCCACTCAATGGCTCAAAACCACTATGCTCCAAACCACGAAACAGCCAAGTACAGCGAGAATGATCATGGATTGAAGGTATAAGATCCAGTGGTGTTTTCCTGCTCATATTTCTTGCCAAGTCGTTGCCCCGCTGAAGTGTGTGTCTCTGAACAAAGTTAGAATGCAGGTGAGCTAAGTCTTTGGTTTCTTTGGACTATAAATAACACTTTTTTTTTTCTTCTTCAAATATTTCTAAGTATAAACCTGCTATCTTGACATCCTGGTCTTTTAAAAATTTTTTTTCTTTAAAGCTTTTCCACCGAGGTTTCAGTTCGTGGTTATTCCTTCATGCTTTGGTACAAGTGCTTGATGAAGAAGATGAGTTGCCAGAATTGGAGCTGCCCTCGTCCTGCCACTTGTCCAGGCTCCTCCTCCTCGCATTCATGAAGAAGTTGCTGACGGTGCTCAGCTCCAACCCCAGCTGCTGGGAAATGGTGATTTGCAATTCTTTGGATGGACGCTTATTTTCCTTGAATATTGCATGTAGAGTTCGACGCTGGACATCTGTGAAGACCAATCTGGGCTTTTTGGGTGTGTTGCCTCTATCCTTCCCATGTTCTTGCTCTTTCCTTTTGCATGCTGTAAAGAAACACAGAAGCTGTTAGAAACAACTGCCTGGGAGAATCAAAAGTGGAAAGGCAGAGCCAATAAAATGTGTTAGCCATTCCTCATGTCCACTTTCTGTCAGCTGGCCTCTGATTTTAGCATCTGGGAGGAAAGTGTAACAAGATGATGGAGAATTAGGAGGAGGAGGAGTTCTGGGAATCCTGGCTTTGAGGCTTTGACAGTATCTGCATTTTGTCTGTGGTAAATCAATGAACCTTCTGGGTCTCAGAGTCGTCTTCTGCAGAGTACAGGGTTTAGGCCAAACACTCATTATTTGAATTTTTTTAATCACCATCTGTTAAAAGGATATAAGAATACCTACCTGGCTGAGTTGTGGTAAGGATGTAGGAGACGGTACCTGAAAAGCTTATGTCAACTGAAGTGTTTTACATGCAAAGTCTGATCAGCTGAAGTGGTCACAGCCCTCACAGGGTGCACCGTCTGCAGCTGATACCACACTAAGAGCCTAATAGAGAGTCTGAAAATAAAAAGAAATTGCACTGGGTTCCCTTCTGATCTTTGTTTTCCAGGAAATGCTGTATGTAAGAAAACTGTACATAGCATCCTACAGCCTTCTACTGACTCCATATGGAACCAGAACTTGTGGAGATGTGAAGGCTACTTCCTTGCCGTTGGAATGAAACCCGTCATGTTAAGCATATTCACCTTTGGGGTGTCTCTGCGCCTCCCTTTGCAAAAGACTTCCTCTTGGGGTGCCCCTCTGCCCTTATCCCATCTACCATTAAGAAGGTCTGTAACAGGTGTGGAATGAGGTCCGGAACTTGGGATGTTTGGGCTAGGGGTCTCCTTGAACCAGAGAAGCCACCTCAACCTGAATATCTTAGAAAAAGGAAAAAAGAATTCCAAAGCCTCCACAATCTGTCTGGGAGAATGCGAAGTGAAGCCGAGCCAAGCCACTGAGAGTTACTTTGCATATCTAAAGAACTTGGCCAGTGTTTTAGTAACGGTAAGTAGCTGTGCCTGCTGCGGTTGAAGCCAGGGAGATGGGCGTCACTGTAATCTGTGATGCAGCTGGGAGGCGGTCCCCCAGTTACTGTGCCTGCAAGAGAGGCTTGGAGGCAGACCCCTACCTCATGGGGCCCTGCCTCCATGGGCTGACAATGGCAGCTGAGAAAAGCAGAAAAGACCAGACTACGGGCAGAAGGAACCCAGTATGGGAGGAGTCAGGAATGGAGTTATGGAGGAAGATCCGTGATGGGATTTAAACCAAGACGTGGGAGCCCTGTGAGCGCTTAACCACACAGCTTAGAAAGGAGCAGAAAAGCAGAATGTAGCAGCCGTGCAGGGTCTTGGCCACAAGGTTTGGAAGGATGCAGAAGGACCCCTACTGGCCCACCACGAGGATGTGGTTTTGGATTAAGAGCAGGAGCCCAGCCTAGCATGGACTCCTGGAAGAAGCCAGAATACAGATGGGAATCTGCCCAGCTAAGCTACGGACTTCTTTTTCTTTTCCTGAGAGATGTTACCTCTGACTGGCCTGGTTTGGCAAGGGGAGGAAGGACTGTGTGTTTGTGGGTGTATTTTTGTTTCTAAAGGGTGTGGGATTCAACAGCAGAATTCCACCATTATTCCACACCTGTATAACTTATGAATAAATAGTTCCTTTCCTCTTCATAAGACTCTGGCACTGGGAGTCATGGTTCTTACTGGCGTTGGGTAATAGAGCCCAGTGGTTCTGTTACAGGTCCCCTCCCTGATTATGCCTCTTGGTCCTATATCACAAGCTGCTTCCTGGCTGCTAGAGCTGTTCTGGAGCATCATCTCAATGTGTCCCTTGGCCCCAGGGTTTGGTGCTGGAGCAGGGTACCTCCTAATCTCAGATGCCACACTTCTCTTTCTGTGGTTCAGTGGCTGCCACCTGCCAAAAGGGCACTACGGGCTGCAATGCTAACAACACCCTCCCCCCGACTCCCCATTTCCATCATCAATCAATCTTACAGCCTTCCCCAAATAACTGTACAACCCAAGTGAAAACAGTGCTGATTATGCTGATGCAACTTTAAGACCAGGCTCCTACGCCCTTACTCCAATCAGATTGCTACCTCTCAGCCTCACTACCTATGCAATCTGGAGCAGCCACTGCTGTCTTTGTATCTGGCTGGCTATACTCTGACATGAGCTCCAGCCACAGGCAAGTAGGGCATCTTCCCATGGAGGCTGGGACTGTTACCCTTTCATAATCCCCCAAACCTCTTGTTGGCTGCTTGGCCCATTGCTACTTCCTGCTTCACCTCCTGACTCTTTGTATTCCAGGTTCTCAATTCCTTAGAAGATGGTTCACCAGCCCTGGCAAGATGCAGCTTCTGTGCTCTATCTAGGTAGCTCTGCTCCTTTCCCTGTCCCTACTTTTCATTCGTAACTGCTAAGATCCCAGGTTTCAGAGTTCCCCTAAGGCCTAAGTGTCCATTAGTACCAACTAGCTCTGCCATCAGGTGAGCTGAAAAGCTAATGGGTGAAGGCTGAAGAAACCTTCCATCTTCGGAGTCCAATCTAGGGACATCCAAGTTTAAATATGTTCTTAAAACATATGCTACTTAGTAAAAAGTGATTTGAGTGTACACTCTAATACTATTTACTTAAAAATTTCACATGTATTACTGCGCTGCTATATTATGCATATTATAAAGCATATGAAACTATAGACATTTTTAAAGGGGTAAAATAAAAATAAAGAGACATAGAAATTCTCTTCTATAGATGCATTTGCTAGTCCAGGCCGTAGAGTGCATTCACCCAACTGAAGGAACCACTGATCTAATCACAGAAAATACAGGGTAAGAATTTCAGAATGAACATGACGGGAGACCTCAGTCATAAAAAAGAGATTTTGGGGGCAAGTCAGACCACATGGTACCTTTCATAACATCCCATAGGTCAGGGACCCCAAACTCCAGGCTAGAGACCGGTACTGGTTTTGGCCTATCAGGAAGCAGGTCTCACAGCAAGAGGTAAACTTGAATGTAATGTGCTTGAATCATCCTGAAACCACACCCCTTTCCCCCTGCCTAGATCCATGGAAAAATTGTCTTCCATGAAACTGGTCACTGGGGCCAAAAAGGTTGGAGACTGCTGCCAGAGGTCACTGGCTACATCGTTTTCCCAACATGAGGGGGCAACATCAACGTAATAGGAAGTATTTATTAAGCCACAGAGCATTGAGCTGTATATACCAAACCAGCTGAATTTCCCCAAATAGCATCCCTCCCCCCAGGGAACTACAGCCTTCATTGGACAACTAGATTAAGTCCCTGATAAAAACAGCTGACTAGACCAAAAACTCTAGTTAGTTTGAGTCAGTCCATTTAGACACAGCTTTATACAATACTGATGCGCATGGATGATCCATTAATTCACGTTCAAAAATGAATATAACACAGACTTTGCTCTTAAGGAGGTCATTCTTGTGGTCATGTAAGCAAATAACTCAAAAGTAGAAAAAGAGTATACAGGATATTGCCTTGGCTGGTGTGGCTCAATCAGTGGATTGAGTGCTGGCCTGTGAACCAAAGAGCTGCTGGTTTGGTTCCCAGTCAGGGCACATGCCTGGGTTGCAGGCTGGGTCACTGGTGTGGGGTGTGTGCGGGGCAGCCACACATTGATGTTTCTGTCCTCCTCTTTCTCCCTCCTTTACCCTCTCTCTAAAAACAAATACATAAAACCTTTTTTTTTTAAAAAAAAACCAACAGTATGTAGGATATTACCTCTGCTTGAGGATATTAAGGAAAGCTTCACAGAGGAGGTGCTTATGCTGGGCTCTGAAGGATGAATAGGAGTTTGTTAGTGAGTGAAGTGGGACAAGCTCCTACTCAGCAGGGGGAACAATATTCATGAAGGATTGATAAATATTAGTAGGTGGGTATTAGTAGGGCAAGAGTACACACAGGAGGAAGGTTGTGGTAGACAAGACTTTATAGACAGAGGTCAAAATTGAATTCTCTTGTGGATAATGCAGAGCTACTGAAAGGTTATGAGTAAGGGTATAGTGTGATTAAATCTGGGTTTAGAAAAATTCCTCTGGTGGTATCATGGGGGGGTGTATTGGAAAGCAGCAAGATTAGAGGCAAGGATGCTGTGGTATGCTACCATGGTCCCTCTCAGGACTAGAGTACTTGTTCTTCCACTTGCTGGAAGAATTCATGGCTGGTGGCTATCAGCTGAGTTCCATTCTGGGAATTGCCCTGGGACAAAGATTATGCCATCCTGGGGTGGCATGGGGTGAGGGGCTGCCCACATCCAGTGAGAGTGGAGGGAATATGGGTTGCTATGGGTGGTAGAGGCTGAAAAGAGTGGGAATGTGTTGGTTTAAGGTCTCCCAATTCCAGACCCTTGCATCAAGTTGGGACAATTCTAAAGGGTCACCTAGTACCAGAGGACCCCATAGGATCGATTGAGGCTATTACTGCAAGTCCATCAAAGTTCAGCATCTCCCAAGTTCAAGCATGCAAGTTCAGCATGCTTGATCTTACCTCCTCCATTGCCACACCCACAGGGGTTATTCCTCATAGCTTTCTCTGATAACCTTCCTGCATGCAAGTTGCAGAAACCCAGGGTCTTTTCCCCAAGAAACCTACACTAAGATAGAATCCATTAGAAACCACTGTAGTGGGTATCCCAAATTAGACAATGGCAGTTGTGGATGGAATATAGGGAGCAAATTCCAGAGCTTCTTGGAAGGTAGAAAGAATCAAGAGGACTTAATGATAACTTGGCTGTGAGGATGGTCTTCAGAAGATCTTCCAGGTTTCTGGTTGGATGGTAGTAATAGGGCCATTAGGAAATTCAGAGGGAGAAATGAATTTTATGGGGGCAGTAATCACTTCTATGTGGGATAAACTTCATTTTAAGTGCTTGTTGGACATTTTGTTAAAGATCTCCAATCAGTTATTGTCCAGCAGACAGCACGATATATGGGGTCTGTAGCTCAGGAGAGAGGCCTGGGCCAGGAATATAGA